CTTTCTTTCTTTCTTTCTTTCTTTCTTTCTTTCTTTCTTTCTTTCTTCTTCTTCTTCTTCTTCTTCTTCTTCTTCTTCTTCCTCCTCCTCCTCCTCCTCCTCCTCCTCCTCCTCCTCCTCCTCCTCCTCCTCTTCTATGTGCCTCTCTTTCCATATCTTTCTTCCCATTTTTTTCTTCCCTCTTCCTCAGTATTATTTTCAGATTTCTCTTCCATTTCCTTCCCCCCCACCCTTGAAGGGGAAACCCGCCCCCTCCCCCTTTGGCCATCCCGCAACCTGGCCAACCGATCCGGCCCGGCATTCCACCGGCAGCAGAGGCCAACTTGCCCCTCCGGGGCCACCCAGAGCCAAGCCAGCCAGCCAGCCAGCCAGCCAGCCCCGCTTGGCAAAGTGGCGGCGAGTTCCGCGGGCCGGGCGGCGCTGGCCCTGAAGGGGCGGGGCGGCCCCGGGCATTCCAAGTGGGCGGGGCCAGGAGGGTATAAAAGGCCCCCGTCGGTCGGGGCAGGGCCAGCAGTCGCTTCTGCCGTCGGGCTGTTTGCGCGTTAACAGGCGGGATGAGTCCGGGAAGGAAAACCGGGGAGGCTTCGGAGCTGCGGAAGGTGAGCCGGAGCGGGGGAGGGAGGCCCAGCCGCGCGTCCCTTGCCCCTTCGCCTGACCGGGCCCGGCCGTCGGACTGACCCCTCCCTTCTCTCCCCCCCCCCCTCCCCGCAGAACCTGAAGCCGCTGATGGAGAAGCGCCGCCGAGCGCGCATCAACGGCAGCCTTGGCCAGCTCAAGACGCTCATCCTTCCCCTGGTGGGCAAAGACGTGAGTGGAGGCGCCCCCTGGCTGGCGGGAAAGGATTGAGGGACCCCTTCCCCGCCGGGATCCGGGAGGAGCGGAGCGCTCGACTCTACTAGGGCGGCCAAGAAAGGAGAGCGCTGGGTTGCTTTCTCTCGCAGACGTTTCATGACCCAACTAGCGAACATCATCAGTACTAGAAGAAGGGAAGGCTGGTGGAGGAGGAGGAGGAGGAGGAGGAGGAGGAAGAAGCGGGGAGGGGGAGGAGGAGGAGGAGGACTGTGGGGTCATCATGTTCTCTGAGTTTGGGAGTTTTCTGGCAGACGTTTCGTGACCCAACTAGGGAACATCATCAGGGCTACAAAGGAGAGGAAGAAGAGGAGAAGCGGGGTCCTTGAAGCTCTCTGAGCTTGATTGCTTTCTCGCAGAAGTTTCATGACCCAACCAGCGAACATCATCAGTGGTAGAAAGAGCTGTATATCAACTGAGAGCCAACCTCCCTCCCTTCTAAGCACTGATGATGTTACCTAGTTGGGTCATGAAACGTCTGCCAGGAAACCTCCCACTCAAGCTTAGAGACCACCAGGGACCCTTTTGCAGGGATTCACTCACTTAACAGCCCTGGCAAGTGAGGTCTTAAAATGGAGCAAAACTCACTTAACCACTTGCTCAGCGACAGAAATTTTGGGCTGGATGGTGGTCGTTAAGCTGAGGACTACCTGCCATGCGAGCTTGGGCACAACTCTTATGTGTCATTTTGCCTCTCAACCAAAAAATAATATTTTTTTTCTCCATTCCACTCCAGAATTCCTGCTATTCGAAACTGGAGAAAGCCGATATTTTGGAGATGACCGTTCAGTTCCTGAAGGAGCTGCCGACGTCTTGCGGCACACTTCCCGGTGAGTGTGATGCAGGATTGCACACTTGTGTATCCTTGTGTTGACAGAACAAACTTTTGAACATGGACACTGGAGCAGGGCGATCGCTAAACCTCGGATAGCGTAATGGCCATCCTTGATTTACAAACATTCGTTTAGTGACGGATTGAAGTTACAGTGGCACTGAAGAAAGTGACTTAGGATAGTTTTTCACACTTATGGCATCCCTGGGATCAAAATTCAGAGGCTAGAATCGTATTCGCCCAAAATTTGGAAAGCAAATGAAATTCCTAGTGAAGATGTTACAATCGACAAGATATTACAATGCACCCAAATGGACAGACTGACACTAGAATTGAAGAAACAAGATAAATTAGAGTATTATAAAGTATGGAATAAATTTTACAGTTGGAGAAGTTATGAAAGGGAGTTCACAAAATTTGAAATAAGAACTCAAGATGAAATAGGGATGAGATGAGACACCTCTGCTCTGAAAAATATGGAAAAGAACTTACA